AAGGTGATAAGAGGCAGGGACAGGCATTTCCCTGTTGGAGAAGTCATTGGCTGGTCCACTTCGGATATCTTCAGGGGAAGGCTCATTTGCCAGCAATCTTCTCCTAATGACCAATTATGTTTGTGTTCCTTTCTATTGTTTTATTTCCAAAAATCTTCCTGTTGGCTGTAGTGCTGTTTCTATTGCTTTTGTTCTCAGAGAAATCCGTTTTGTGTAAAGAGGATAAAGAAATCAACTAATTAGTTTTCTAAAGTGATAATTGCAGACGCTGTTCCTGTTGACTTAGAGTCTGTGTATAATGATCAGTGCCCTTCCATCCGGGCTGTCTCAATGCACCGCAATGTAAACATAAATTCCATCTGTAGTTGAGCATTTCCTACACATATCCTGCAGAATTAACAAATCTACGAATATATTACAGACTGACTGATCCTTTCTTCTCTTGATACGATGTCAGAAGACTGTAAGTTATATAAACAACTGACTCCTCTTCTCAAACAAAGCCAAAAGGCTAAAACTGCCCCAGGAGAAACTCTTAATATCTTTGACCTGCATTGACGATAGTTTTCAGCATTCCAGATGTACTTAATAAGTAGAGAATATCAGAGAGTCAAAAATCCTCATCCTTCTAATTATCTTTTAATTAACTTTCCGTGTCCTTTAAATGAGGATTCCAGTTTTTATAATCATACAGAGTTCATGACTCCTGAAAGTCCTTGGTGCCATAGAGCTAGAATCTCACATAATAATTGGTTCCTTAAAATACAGTAATGTGGTAGACAAGCTATAAGCTGATGAGTCTGATTTAGCATGGTTTTGAAAGGTTTTTGTTCTGCTGCCCTGGACTGAGATCCTTTAGGGAAGAATCATTTAGAGTTTCACCAAACCAAGTGGTAAATGCTGGAATTCCTTAATCAAATGGTACATATTTTACTGAAACAGAGGAAGTGTAAAGTTGGATTTATGTCAGAAGCATAACTGTCTCTAGTCTACATCAACTCTTTTCTAAGGTAGTCTGAGAAAGGGTGATTAATTTTTTTTTATTTAAGGAGATGGAAATATTAAATATCTTAACTTGATAATTGCATACTAAATACATGGATCAAATCATCATACCCCACAAATACGTACAATTAAATAATAATTAATTTTTAAGAGTAAAGGAAAAACAACACAGTGATAAATGAGTCAAAATTATTTTGTGGAAAAATCTAAATTCTTTAATGGCAAAAATTCTCCACTTGTTTGAAATACAGCAATTCTCTCTTATTTTATTAAGAAATTTTTTATTCATTTTACATACCAACCACAGATCCCCCTCTCATCCCTCCCCCTGCTCCTTCCAAGCCTTCCCCCCTAGCCTACCCCCATCTCCTCTTCTGAAAAGGTAAGGCCTCCCATGCATAGGCAGCAAAGCCTGGTACATTCAGTTGAGGCAGGTCCAAGCTCCTCTCCCTACATAAGGGCTATACAAGGTGTTCCACCACAGGTAATGGGCTCCAAAAAGCTACCTCATGCACCAGGGATAGATCCTATTCCCACTGCCAGGGGACCCTTAAACAGACAAGGTACACAACTGTCTCACTTATGCAGAGGGCCTAGTCCAGTCCCATGGAGGATCCACAGGTGTTGGGCTAAATTTCATGAGTTCCCATTAGTTTGGTTCGGTTGTATCTTAACTTTCTCCATCATGATCTTGATGCCATTACTCATAGAATCCCTTTTCCCTTTCTTCGACTGGACTTCTGGAGCTTGGCCTGGTGCTCGGCAATGGATCTCTGCATCTGTTTCCGTCAGTTACTGAATGAAGGCTCTATGATGACAGTTAGGGTATTCACCAATCTGATTACCAGGGTTCTTAATGGAGGGGGTCCTAAAGTTCTTTGCAGAGTGTCACTTACCTAATATCAGCATTATTGTCCTTTAATGATCTGCTCTACCATAGTGAATTATTTTTCAACTTCATAGCAAATGCAATTTACAGTGTACCCCCAATTAGCTGTAACACAGAAAGAAACAGACAAAAAAAGAAAAAGAAAAAGAAAAAGACAAGACAAGACATTTCCAAACTCCATCAGGAAATCCTGCTCGTTCTATGTCTTACTGAGTGCAGAAGGTTAGAGCTACCGGTTATGGTGACAACCACATCATCTACTCTAATGTGAAAACTAAACTGGAAACTGATTAATTGCTCAGAATTTCTAATAATGTCTCCTTTTTTTCATTTAAATAAATCCAATAATATTGGTGCTCTTAAAACCTGTTATTTAAAACTTTAAATAAAACATTAACTACAAATCAACAATATTTTACTTATTTTAATATTTCATTTGACAGTATTACCACTATAGATTGATTTTTATAGATTTATCTTGGAGTTTGTCTCAATTAGCCTAGTTTGCTCAGATTGGCCTACACTCATAAATATATTTGTTCTGAAGATGAAGCTTAGCTGTGCTGTTTACTGTTTCCAGTAAATCGCACTGCAATGAAATACTGAGAGATATTTTCACACTTTATACATCTAACTGATGAGATTTCAACCAGCAACCTAGACATAATATTTCACAATGTAATATTTCACACCAGTATCAATAGAGGATCTTCTTTGTATTAGTCTCAATTTTTGTTCACTCAATTCAATAATGTGTGTGTGCAGTACACTTTCTGTGGTCCTTAGGTTACTGTAAAGGCTCAATGAAGGTGAATGGTGTAGTGTCCATTGGTATTGATTGCCTGTCAGGACTTACTCAAAGCTCAAATTCAATGTAAGGTGGTGGGATTCAGAACTCTGAAAAGTAGATATTGCTTTCCTGTTTGGTCAGCCCATTCTATACTAAGTAAATAACCTAAAAACCTGGTAAGTAGCCCCTATATCTCCAAGACAATATAATGCCTGTGGAATCAGAAACCTATCTATTGTTAGATTTTATTGTTACTAACTATCTGATTACTTCTTCAGAGAGATTTGAATTAATAGTCCTCTGTAATAGTACTTTTTTGAGTCTGGACACTTTACACTCAATTTGAAAACCTCAGGGAATATTTTTAATATGCAAGCTATGTTTTTATTAATACTTAGCACGTTAGAAAATAAATCTGAAAAAGTTAATACCATTAGTTTTAAATAATTTTAAGAATCAATTAACTGATTTATTTTGAAGCAAATAGCATCTCTTTAAAAGAAAAGTAACTTACTTCATTGTCCAATACAAAGCAGTGGGAAGATAACTCATATTTTTGCAAATATCTTCACTAGATAGAAAATAACTGGACTCTCATATATGCTTTCGAAGTCAATTGTGATCTATTTTGGTTGAAGTACAAAGAGAAATGCAAACTTTGTGTAGATATATAGCCAGAGAAGTTAGGACACGATGGATTCCTAAATGGTGTCAGAGACCTACAGGGGTGCAGCAACCACTTTGGAAATCAGTGTTTCTTCAAAGACAAAGCTGTATTCCACACACTAATGTAGTTGGGAGAGTTCTTCAATTCTGCCCAGACCCATGGTCCCACAGCTGCTTATAAAATATTCACTCAGAAGCTTATATTAATTATAACTAATCGGCCATTAGCTCAAGCTTATTACTGACTAGCTCTAACCCTTAAATTAACCCATAATTCTTATCTATGTTTAGCCACATGGCTTGGTACCTTTTCTCATTTCTGTCTTGTCATCTTGCTTCCTCTGTGTCTGGCTGGAGACTCCCTGACTCCTCCTTTCCTCTTCCCAGAATTCTCCTTGTCTGCTCGCCCTGCCTATACTTCCTGCCTGGGTTTTATTCAGCCAGTGTACAAGAGTATTATCCCACAGCACACTTACTGAAGAACATGATAACTGTAGAGTTCCATTTTAATTATTCAGAAGTAACAATGAGAATCTTTTGGCCAGAAGAATGTAAAATCTACTCAAGGGAACACTAACTTTTTTAGAATGATTTCTCTCGTTCTATGCTGTTTGTCTAAGAAAAGGTATTTTAACCCATAACACTGTGGTATAGTATTATGTACTGCCCTTAGACATTCTGGATTTCATGATATATTGTATTATGTCCTATAGAAGTCTGGACACTTGGAGAATAACTGCCAATCATAGCCACCTGCAAGTTTATTCTTTTATCAGTTCCTAGGCTACATAACAAGGCAGGTTCTTTATTCCTTCACTGGTTCACAGTTAACATAGCACATTGTCATTAGGCCCATTTTATGGTTTTCTTTTTTCCTTGACAATGATACAGTGGTTGTGTGTGTGTGTGTGTGTGTGTGTGTGTGTGTGTGTGTGTGTGTGTGTGATCTATGTGTCTATGTTTGTGTGTGCCCACAAGCGCACACATGGTGGAGGTGGTGGTATTTGGATGAATTCTGATTATATACTTCTGCAATTCTTTTTCTTCAAAGGTAAATTTTCCCTTTTGACAGTACATGAACTAATAATTTTATACCAAATACACTCCATGTTATTTTCTCCATTATAGTGAGATATCTCCTCAGATTTTTAGCTCAGTCCTTTTAACTTTCAGACAGACAGAAGGAAAGAGGGGAAGAATGACTTTCTCAACACTATGCAAAAAAAAAAAAATAGAAAAATTTGTAACCAGCTCTTATGGACTTAACACCACTGTGGTTAAGACAGTATAATAAACTCCATCAACGGGTATTTAGGAAAATGTAGCTAAGGCACTCTTCAAAGTCATGACTTTTCCTACTAAGCATCATACTTGACCCAGGCAGGTGGAGACCTTCCTGAGAAAACCATGAATAAGTCCTGGATCCCATACCCAAGTCAAAACAAGATGCTGATAGGTTTTGTTCTCGCTAAAGGAGAACCAATTCAGAGCAGTTCTGTCCAAATATGTCATTCCTGGTCCATAACTGGAAATATTAAATAGATTAAAAACCTTACCCTGATATTGAAGATCAAATATGTATTAATATATTTTAGTCCTGTAGGGCACCATAAAAATCAGCTGGATAATCTTCCATTGCCTTCTTTTCAGGAAGGAAGAAATGGGTTTCCATGGAGCTATGGATGGTGTTCATCTCAGGTAATAAATTTTCAACCTTCCAAGCCAGCTTACTCTGTCCTGCTTTCAAGTACTTAGACAATGCCAAGCATCTTTGTAAGTCTTGTCACAGTTATTTCTCAAATTTTTGCCTATCCTTTGTGCCCAAAGATGTTACATTATGGTTTAATATCACCACCTTTGCCTCCAACCTGGTCTTTTGCCTCTCTGAAGTAGCTTTGTCTTTGTCAAGAATCTACTCCTCTACTTCAATTCTGGATTGACTTCCACTGATCCCAGCTTGAGATGGCAATGACCATGATTTATCTGAAGAGTTAATAATAAGCATGACTTAAAGATAACTTGAAAAACATACCCTATCCCAATATATATCTTCTTTTTTTTTCTTGGATGTATTATGAGACCACCTCACTCCAATTTGAGAATGTATCATGAAAGAACAGCTATTGCTAATTTTATATAGGGCACTGGTAAAGGCACTGGATAGATAGATAGATAGATAGATAGATAGATAGATAGATAGATAGATAGATAGATAGATAGATGATAGATAGAGATATCCTTTTTCTAATTAACAATTGCAATACCTCCATAAGATATATATTATTATCAATGATTTATAGTTGACAGGACAAAAGCTCAAAGACTTCAGTAGCATGTCCAATTTAACACAAATAAGACACAGTAGAAGCAGTCTCATACTTCACTCTGTCTGAATCTACTATACCCAGGGCCCTCTATCTGGCAGAATGGAGTTTAGAAGAATCTTGGGCATCTTTAAGTTCGTTGTAGCTTATATGGAAGCAATGTTTGGCATTTTTCCCTTAATGTCTTTTATTTAAGCACCTTTTCACTTCTAGGTTGTGTTCATTCATGCTTAGCCAAGGGTAGAGCAGATACAAGAACTTTATAGGCTGATTGATTGAGTGCAACCTCTAACCCTTTTGTCCCTGCCAGGTAACAAGAAATTAAATCACGGTGATTTGCTCCAGGCCAGAAGTTCATTGACAAGGACAAGGTCCCTTTACTTATTGTTATTTAGCTTAAAGATACCATTAACACCACAATGCCCTATAGCCAGAACAAAGGAATGTTTTCAAGTGATGGATATAAGGTTTGTCCTTAAAGGGTGAGATATATGTGTATCCATCAGCTTTTGATTATACTTCTAGATTTCATTTTCTAGTTTGACTTAATCTTCAGTGTTTTCTAATTTCACATCTCTAATACCTCAGGAACCGATACTGAGATGAATACTTCAGTGGCCAGTCAGCTGGTTAATAACATAGGATAATCACTTCTTGTCAAGGTCTTCAGTTAAATAATATTGTTTGTCTTACTAGGTAGTGGGGCATAATTACAGGAATTAGAAAGAAAATACATCTTAGAGTGGAGCATATTTTCAACCTATCATACCCTCTGCTCACCACAGTTTTGTGTCGAACTATGCAGAAAACTCATTCACCCCCATTCTGGCATCTCCTGAATCTTAACCTGCCTCAACATTGATTCAAAGCCCATCTAGGTCTCACCTGGTCCCATCTGTCATTGTCTCCATCCTGAGGCAAGATTCCCCTCTTGTCACTTTTCAAGACATAGAGTCCTTTTCTAGGTATCTCTAGATATTTCTGCACCTTCAGGGAAATCAGAGAGCCTCAAAAGCCTGACTGGCTTTTAAGTTTTTTTTACTTAGGTTCAGGTTTTTTTTATTAATTTTACTACAAACTAATGAAAAATTAAGCAAACTAATGAAAGTTAAGCATCTCTAGAGAGTCAGCCTGAAAGGTTCAGTATGTTGGTGGCCAGTAGGAAAGTCATTCACAGCCTATGACTCAGTCATACTAGCCTCTAGCTTTGACAATTCTATATACACCATTCCTGAAGAATTTCCAAATTCTTGGGCCTTTATTACATTTTTTTAAATTAGTGAGAGACATACTATTCTTGATACTCTCTTTTTTTTCTGGTTCAAAGTTGCCTCAAAGAATATTTTAAAACAATTACATTGAGCAACAAAATGACAGTAGAATGTATAATCTTAAATGAAAAGTCAATATATCGTTGTGACATTTCAAACAACTAGGGGGCAAAGAAATAAGCATAAACTTTTTTTCTATACACAACTACATTTTCTCACTCAAGTAAAATCTTATGTCCCAACTAATTCATCTCTTAGTGGCTGATGAGTCATTTAGAGTTTGATTGGATGATAGTTCCTTATTTCAGAGTCCCTAAAAAATTGGGGTCTAGCTCAATGGCCCAATGGGTAAAGTGCTCGCTTCAAGTCTGGAAACTTGAGTTTGATTCCTAGAATCCTTTTGGTAGAAGAAGGGAATTTGTTCCCTCAGGTGGTTATACTCTGACTTCCCCACATGTACCATGGCATACACACACACACACACACACACACACACACACACACACACACACAATTAATTAAGTATATTTTATTTAATTAAAACAAAACAAATCATTTGTATATTTGGCTTAAGAGAATACTGTACTTCTTTATGCATACCTCTTCTTTTATAATGCCATTTTAATGTCTGCACACTATTTTCTTGTGCCATGCATCACTAGTGCCTTTTCAGTTGCTGTGGTAAAATTCCATGACCAAGACAGCTTATTAAAGGTAGGATTTATTTGGGTTTATAATCCAGAGGGGTAAGAGTCCAATACTACCATGGCAAGTAAGTATGGCAGCGGGCAGATATGGTGACTGTAATAGCAAGCTGCATGCTCACACCTCAAATCCCAAGCAAGAAGCATAGAAGGAACAGTGAATGGCACATGACTTTGAAACTTGAAGGCCTTCCCCCACTGAAAAATTTCTCCAGCAAGGTCACACTTCCTAAGTCTCCCCAAATAGCCACCAACTAAGGACCAGATATTCAAATGCCAGAGCCTATGGGGAGGAGAGTCTCATTCATACCACCACACTACCAAACATTGAAGTGATTTCCAGTACTTGTCTCACTGGAGTTTGCCATCTAAACAATTCTGTTGAAATAGAGTCCGATATTTTAACATTTGTTCTATACAGTCTCTTCATGGTCCTTAAAACATTATCTTGTGTGTAGTATCTCAACCCAACACCAAGAGGTCAGCTCAGAAATTGTACACATACAAGAAATACTGAGCCAGGCAGTGGTGGCGCACGCCTTTAATCCCAGCACTCGGGAGGCAGAGCCAGGCGGATCTCTGTGAGTTTGAGGCCAGCCTGGGCTACCAAGTGAGTTC